TTTAAATAGCGAACACTTTTTTTGGATTTAATTGGATTCAATTGGATTCAATTAGATTCAATTGGATGCAATTGGATTGAGAAACTGCATTTCCTATTCAAAATTTTGAATTGTAGTATTCACAATGCACAGAAAAAGCTAATATTATTTTTAAATTTAAAGGCATATAGAGATATGCTCCATGCAATTACTACAAATGAATAAAAATGCATTCAGGATTGCAGGAAAAGCATTCATTTTAACATTCGTGAATCAATATTTCTGAAAATCTGAATCCATTTCAATTCATTTCAATCCATTCTCGTTTGCTGGGCTACAAAAATGGGTTAAATTTATTAGTAGCTTGTTTGTTTTATGGGTGAATATTTACAAAAAAAAGAGGATTGCCGATAAAATGGCGGGGATGGTGGAGGGCCTCTATAGCTCGTTTTTGCTAAATTCCTAGCAAACGAAAATGGATTGAAATCTCAATTCAACTTATTCTTCCTCTTTTTCTAACTCTTTTTAGAACTAGAAAAAGACGAAGAGTAAATTGAACCGAGATTACAGTTAATCTACATTGGTGAAAATGGGCATAAGCGAAATAAACATCACGCGCATGTAAGATAAATATTTCTGATCCACAGTTTGTGAATGTAGCACGATTATACGAACTAATAACGATTTCGGCTAGAAACATCAATGTGCACTGATGCATATCAAGATCGTTGTACACTGTTAATACTTACCGCAGTATGTTTCGTTTCAGACGAACATGAGATTCATGAAATGTAACCTTATTACCGATTTATAATATTAGTCGCGTGCGGTATCAGTCGCAGGCGTCCAATATTTGAAGAATAGTTTTGCCATTTTCGACTGTTATCATTCACGATTTTTGAGAAATCTATCCGGTTTGAGGTGACTAATTTTCACTAGAAAACCTCACAGAGAGGAATGGCACATTGCATCACGTGATTGCACCACGTTCAATCAAAACGTCACGGTGTGAGCAGTTTCTCCAATCTCTTCTATGCCTTTAAAGCTTTGATGCCCATACCCAATCAAAGAAGACGAGTTATATGATGCAGTTTGCCACTCTCTCTCTGTGAGGCTCTTTATTATTATATTAATTTTCACTTTCTTTTTTGTGCTTTTTTTGGGAACAAATGGCCACGTTTATTTCGATTTTATTACGATGGTTTCCTTTTCGAGTAGTACAAGGAAGTATAATGTAAATACATAATAAACATAAATATTAAATATTAAACATAAATATTAAATATTAAATAGTATAATATTATATTATAATATTAAATATTATATTATTATAGTTTTAATTTAACTTGCAAAACTCACTGTTTCATCGGATATTTTTCGCACCACTTCTTCAATGTATTTTTTTAGTTTCGCTTTGCCTTTTTTTATGTTCTGTCAACATTAATTTGTCATCGTCACTTGATGACAATGATGATCAAAAATTCTATATAAATCACTCATAAAATCAAAATTGACGCTACAAGTTGGATATCAATTTTTAGAAGGCTATGTCTGGCTACGGTTCACTTGCTGCTACGAATGTTTCGAAGCATTTTTTTGATTGGTCAGATAAAATTCTTTCTTCCGATTGATCAAGTAAAAGTTTCGAAGCATTTGTAGCATAAAGTGAACCGCATCTGAAATCAGACACTAGCGACAAAATTATTACGTGAGCACACACACGCTGCTTTTCAGCGTCTCATGAAAGCACTAAGCTCAATAATTACACCAACTGGCCCCAACAAATTTATCGGGGCCACTTTGTGTACACTTGTACGGTACCGAGTCCAGACGAACATACGACACTGGCAAAGAATTGTACCATTCAACCAGTCGAACGCACCAGTTGCACCAACACCCGAAATGTGCAGTTGGTGCGTCTCAACCGAAATCACAAGAAAAACGAAATTATCAAATACATGTTTTATTAATATTACAATAATGTATATTGAGAATTGTACGATTGAATCTGTTTTTAATACATTTTTATGACAATTATGTAACAACTTTATTATAACAGCGTATAACAGCATATAACAATTGTTATAACAGCTTTATGTGCATTAGTGCATCTCATCCGAAATCGTTATTTCATTGTACAACGGTCTTTATATGCACCAGTGCACATTAGTGCATCCCAAACGAAATCGCTATTTTGGTTGTTCATTTTCGAATCGCAAAAATGGATGCGCTGGTCTATGTAAAAAAAATCGGGATAGCCTCTCTCAAGTCTTTTTATCTATGGCGTCACATAACCTCTGATCTCTGATAACCTCGTGGTGAAGTTGTTGAAGACGCAATCCATCATCCGTGGCACAATATACTAAAAACCTCCTTATTCTGGTTTGCATATGTTGTTATCGAATAATGTGTTCGTGACGATTATTTATAATTGCGGTAATATTTGTTCTCGTAATTGAATTATAATAAATCAAAATGCAGCATGATGATGTAAGTAAAAGCTCTGAGTATAGTTTAATTTAACTATTTTTAATTATTATTGCGATTTTATTTATAACAATTTTACAGGTTGTGTGGAGTGTTATCAATAAATCATTCTGTTCTTTCAAAGTAAAGTAAGTACGTCCTTAAAAGATAAATGTACAACAAAGTTTGTGTTTGCTTTATCACTCACAACACTTTAAGCATCTTAAGCACTTTAAGCAAGTTGTTTATTAAATATTAAACAAGGATAAATAAAGCTTACAAGTGCCGTCAAAGTGAACACAGCCAAATTGTAACAGTCTTACTGTCATTGTAATTTTAACATCTCTTGTTTCCAGTACAAAGACACAGCGGTTTTGTAGAAATGAATTTAATCTTACTGGTTTATGCAGTAGAGCTGCATGCCCTCTTGCAAACAGTCAATATGCTACAATTAGAGAAGAAAATGGTATTATTTATCTTTACATGAGAACTGCAGAAAGGTAGATTAAATATATGAATTGTAGTTATGGTAGTTACTAATCTATAACATTTTTTATAGCACTTAAAATTATAAATTTTATGAACATTAGTAAAGAAACAAAGATTAGTTTTAATTCAAACATTATTATAAGCATCCATCAAATGAACTTTTATCTTTATATGTACATTTATTATATGTACATATATGTAATATTTTTACATGTATATTAATATGTATTAGTTTGAATATTAATTAAGTTTCTTTTGTTTAGAATACATACACCTAAAAATAGCTGGGAGAAAGTTAAACTGTCTAGGAATTTTGAAAAAGCTATACATCAAATTAATGAAAATCTTCTTTATTGGCCTGGTTTTATAAAAGCTAAATGTAAGCAAAGATTTCTCAAGATCACACAGTATCTTATTCGTATGAGAAAATTTAGATTAAGACGACAGAAGAAAATTGTACCGCTTCAAAGGAAAATTGAAAGAAGAGAAAGGCGTAGGGAAGAAAAGGCTTTGATTGCTGCAAAACTAGAAAATGCAATTGAAAAACAGCTTATGGAGAGATTGAAGAAGGGAATGGTAATTGATTCATTATAAAATTTATATTCATTATAAAATTGTATATAAAGATTAAGTTATATTTCAGAAATGTTATTTTCTTCATATTTCAGTATGAAGGTATTTACAATTTCCCACAACGAGTGTTTGATAAAGCTGTAAGGGCTGTTGAAATTGAAAGAGAAAGTGAAGCAGAAAGCGAGCATGAAGAAGAGAAAGAACTTGAGAAGGAGTTGGAAATGGAACTAGAAGCAGATGACAGAGAAACTGAACAAGATGGTCCAGAATATGTTGAAGCTGATAGCGATGATGATGACTATGAGGATGATGATAACGACATTGAAGAACTTTCTATGGTAAGTGATAAAAAAAAGTCACTAAAATATAATTACTTAATATTTTTTATAAATACATTATAAATGCTGTATAGGATGAAGATAGTGACTCTGGACAGAAAGAAGAAGTTGAATTATCTGATAGTTTTGAATCCGAAGCTAGTGATATTGAGGTAAGAATTCTCAAGATCAAAGTAAGGCTTGTTGTACTACAAGTGATATAAATTGCTCGTGTTTTATTAGGATTTAGTCACACCGTCCACAAGCAAGAAGACAAAAGGACCGAAAGTTGTTAAAAAAGGAAAAGTGCAAAAGAAACCTCAAGTGAGAGTCGAAATTGAATACGAAGTGGAAGACGAAAATCAGCAAAATAAACGGGCGCGTATATAAAAGTAAATTTGTATTATATAAATATAATTATCTTTATAACAAAATCACAAAACACTGTATAAGTTATTATCCAATATTTTGGTTGACAAAATAATGACAAAATATTACATTTGATAATATTTAAACCCTTCATATATCTAGATGCGTTTTAACTTGTATTAAAAGTAAAAAAAAAAAGACGAACAAGATACTTTAGGAGTATATTGTCTCATCTTTAACGTTTTTTTCAAAACGTATAATTGTGAAACTCGAATTTTTTATGGATATGTGAGAATCTCGTATTATGTATCTATTTCATTAAATAATACCTTTGAAATTTCTCTTGTAAAATTATAAGATCATTGCAAAACAGATACAAAAAAGTTTCAACAAATATATAATATAAATAAATTATATAATATAAATGATCAAATATATGTATGATTTATGGCATTAAAAAAGATAAAAACTACTGCCAATTAACATTTTATATATATATATATATTTATATTTGAAAAAAAAAGAATAAACAAAAAATAAATTATTTACATATATTATGCAAAAAATGCACTTATAAATTTAATAAAAATTACAAACTAATCAATTTTATTACTTTGGTAATTTTATAGTTTTGAAAATTTAATCAGTCCAGTAATGTTTATATTTTACGTTTGCGAATACAATCGTATTCTCAAGTCAAACGCAGTACGTTTAAAAGTTCCGCTCACAGACGCGAAGACTACAAAAAGTACATCTTGGGGAGGGGAATCGGAACGTCCGTAGTAACATAGCAGACGATTAATCGTGATGAGTTGAGACAAGTTGAGAGAAAGGAGGCGAATCTCTACTAATTTTTTGTCGCTGAGGATCTTCTCTGAAAATCGGAGAAATCTTCCTCAGCGAGTTCGCCTGTCGATCGATTATTCGTGATTGAACTTCAAAAAATCCGATTCGTCGCAAGACAAAACGAGATGTCAGTCCATCCGCACTCCGCAGTACTTCGGCATTGCGCATTCGTTTAGAATCATCACGCACGTTGACATTTTGATTTGATTCTCTGCTCGGGCTCTGCCGCAGTCTTCGGGAACTCAGACAAAGCGAACGCCAGGAACATGGTGACTCGGCCGCGATTTTGCCCTTTCGCCCGTTATTTATAGAGCTGGCAGGTTATTTCTAAAATCAATCGCACAGGTGAGACGCGGGATGAGTAGTGCCGGAACGATACAGTTGCAATAAGTAACGTGGGAATTAACGCAAATTGGCATTGCAACATACACAACGTTGCTGTTACTTTTCAACAAGAGACAGTACAACACAGTAATCATTTCATCTTTGTTTAATATTGGCAGATAACAAAGATATTATGATTCATTTATACCGTGTCTTCTGTATCTCTTGTTAGAAAACATTTGTGTAACACGATTTGCTTCTACTCTCGGGACAAGAGTGAGATGTTTCTGGAGTATTTTTCTTGATTCGCACGATGCAGATCACACGGTCTCATCGAGCAATTCGTGTGATAAACCATTGGCGGTGCATAGCTATCAACGCGCTCGTTACGCGAATTTATCTCTATTAAGGGAGGTTTCGCAATTCGCAAGTGTTCGCAGAACGAACGCGTTGTCCTTCGCTAATAGTTATCTGGTATTTTCGCTCAATATAGATACCAAGTTCCTCTCAGTTTCTCTGACAACCTTGGATCTTAGTGTGATCTCATCGCACGAATGACTCAAGGGCGTCAATAAATGATAATCTGCTATCTTCTTTGTCTCAGGGATGTCGTGGCATGCGGAGTGATGGATCATTGAATGGAGATGCAAGGTTGGAGAACAACATGAATTTGTATCGCACAATTATCTGACTGGGATCTACTCTTCGAGTTATCGTGTCTTCATAACTTTACGCACAAATGTCAGGATGTTAAGCGGTGCTGTCAATATGGAACTGAATAATGTTGTGAGCAACAAAAGTTCCGTATATCTTGCACTGTCGTTTCGTAGGCTGTGCCTGGCGACAGTTGGCTTACCACTTGTGTCGCTGTTATTCTGCTTCATCACAGCATATATATTTCAACAGGACGATATTCACGAAACTCATTGTAGGGTAAGCAAGTTTCATATTAAGGCATTGTTACAATAAGCAAGACTTGTGACAAATAATATCTCTTTGTTTAGGTCTATAATATTCTTCCATCGATCTCAGCCATTACTGGAGTATCTCCACAGAGATATTTATGGCGTATCAGTATAGCATTACATATTGGTCCTAGACTGGTTATCGCCAGTGTTTATCATTCATATTATTACAAGATACTTAAGAACATTGAAGATGTGCCTCTACAAATTACAGGGAGCAGGCTCCTAAACCTATGCTATTGGCTAAACATTGCCGAGATAGCAGCTTTGTCTGGTGTAACATATATTTCTAACAGAGAAAATTATTGTAAGTAACTCATAATTTCATATATCTGCTATTAACGTATTATTGAAGAATAGAACGTTTGATGTTATTAACGTTATTTGTATTATTCTATATTTATTGTATTTATTAGACATTAAACAAGGATAGAATGACATAAATAGCGCCAAGTAGTATTATATATAGTATTTTTTCGAATGCACTTTTAGTAAATGACATAAAAATATTTCAGCGGTGCACGAAAAAATTTTCATAGTGTTCATGATTAGCTCGCTCACATATATGTTGACTGCTGTGAGATTGGGTCGTTTAATAACTCCAAATGCACAAAGTCTTCAGTACAAACAAGTGCTTTTTATGACAAGTCTCGTCAGTACAATCTTTCTTATTATTTTCTTCTTAAAACATCGACTGCTGTGTCACGATTTGGGTAAGAAATATAGTTACAAATGTTATATTTATCACAATTTAAAGTAAAAATATAAACAATATTTATTATTTTGAACAGCATTTAGTTGGTTTTCACTATGTGAGTACGTGATAGCTTTTGCAAATATGGGCTTTCACATCACTGTGGTTTCGGACTTTCCAGAAGAACAACTGATCGTAGGTCACGGTTTACCTGCCGTAAAAATAGATTAACCTTATAGGATAACTCATCATTCTCATCGTCATATTAAAGTACCTATTGCCTCTGCATGGAAGTGCTACAAATTATTGTTTTTAAGAGATGAAAGTTTAGCATACCACGTGATATATAATTTCACGATTGTCTCACGAGTTTTATGATATTTACAATATTACATTATGTTACCCTCTTGAGATTGATACAATTTGCTTCCAGTGATATTTAAGAGATAGATATCATTTTTATCTTTACTTTTACATTGTCTCGCAATATTAACTACGATATTCGACCAATAATTCCGAACGAGAAGACACGTGAAAAGAATAAAAATATCTAGCGCTTCCAAAATGTGGCACCGGTTACTTTTAAAGCGATGAAATATGTAACGGCCTTTTAATATTGTATTTAGTAATAGAGTACAATCATAGTAAATAATAGTTAGAAGTATCCTACATACAAACAACATTTATTGTTAAGCGCAAATTAAATATTATTACTCACATCGTATGAGATTACTTGTGAAGACTTTTGAATCTTCTTTTATAGAAACTTTTGCAAGGTGAGAATCTAGTCGAATATATTAATTCTAGTCGCGATCTTTTTTCGCTTTATGATACTCCTATTTTATCTAATAAGTTGAAATTAGACTATAAGATACATTTATGTCAAACGAACTTTGAGATATTATAATCGTAAGTTCATTAAATGAACATATATAATTTTGGATTATTGCAAAGATTGTACAGTTGTGTCTTGTTGACAAATCTTAACAATGAAAATCGTACATGTATATGTTAATACACATTCACCTTGTAAGAGATTAATTCATCTTGTATAGATTTTGAAATAATAAATTCAGCTAATATTTACAAGCCAATCTGTTTGGCATTATTGTAACTGCACAAACGTAGGATAATTACTCCTATGTTTGTATGTAGTATACGATAGATTAATAATAGCAAATCGAGACACTGATGATTAAAACGGTCATAATCGTATTATATGAGGATGTGTAAATGATTGCATTCGGACCAGTGTGCGTTCAAAGGTAAGAGTATCTCTATCAGTATCTAATAAAATATTTCATACAAATTTATAAGACAAACATTTAAAAAATTTCTGTCAAGTTTTATGACTGAAATTTCTCCATTCATCTCTTATTTGAAACAAATATCGTTTGATATTATTTGAAACATGGATTATTTGTGATATACAACATGACAGGATTTTCATAAAAGGAGAACATAAAAAGTTTTATCTATAATATTTTTTAAATTATTATTTAATTTTTAACCATTTAATTTTTAAATGCTAAATAATACTTTGGATTATTAAAAATTACATTTCTGATGTGATTATTTTAAAATATATAATTATATAATTAATAAAATATATAATATATAAAAATGTATGAATTAACAGAGATAGGTTGAATTTTATAGATTATTTTATAGTTTGAATAATAATCTTTATCGAAAGTGCCCAATAAAATTTAACATATTTTATTTAAAGTATTGCTAGAAATTATTGCGATAAAATTTTTACTAGTGTTTTATAACTATTTAAATAAATCTTGTGCATGTTTTTTGTTAAGAAAGTTCCATGGTCATAAGATTGAGATGAAGTTGCTTACGTGCGTGAATAGACTAGTAAGGAATGACTACATTCTCAGACTGTAATATCTGCGCAGAATATCTCTTGATATTAAATCGATAAATAAAATAAGATTTATTATAATAAGCGCAGATGGTGCGTTATCGCAATGTGTCTCTTAGGATTTCGTTATAAAAGGCCGATAGTGTCAGTATGACTCTAGATAGCACCTGCAGTTAAATGATATCAGTTTTGCACATTTTTACACATGAACATTGTAATTGTAGCATGTTTTGATATGACAACTTTTTGTTAAGATTACTCGTATACCATTATTGAAAAAAGGAAAAAATGAATAGAAAGGAAGAAATGAACAGTGCATATTTATCGCTAGTTTCTCGTAAGTACGTTTATAATCATGAGTAATCATGCAAAGATATGCTACAAGCTTTAGATTTTTGTAATGATCGTAAGGAAGTAGCGCTTTGTTTTTTCTACACACGCAACAAATGTAATCACTGGAGTGTAATATATCAGTTCCTATTATAATTGGAATCTCATTTTTGTATGTATATATATATATATATATATATA